CACTGATTTACCACTTACAAACCAAAGGAAATACATATGACTGAGGCAAAGGAAAGAAAACAAACAATGCCATCCCCCCAACCAGACATAATATCTTCTATAACTCAAACTATCCACAGAACTAGGAGGAATCCAATTCAGGAAATCTGCCAAAGGCTTTTATATTGTATTTATGCATACAAAAAGATACAATGAATTTCTAAAGATCTGTTTTAACCTTAATACATAGTTTACAGTACATTAAATCAGTGTATAGTATTTCCATGTTACTGCAACTTCTGTAAACTTACTATTATATTGCATCAAGAAAGGTTGTGAGCCCTCTTCTATGTCACCGGGGATTTGCAGATTTTTAGGGTGACAAATTAACATTCAGGACAGTTACATATGTCTGAATACAACTAGAGAGTAGAATTTCCTCTTAAATTTCCAGGCGAGACCACCAAACAAAAATGCTCATTACCTCAAGGATCCATCAGGTAATATGCTAAAAATAAAATAAAGGAGCAAGTTGGGAACAACTCTTCAGCACATATTTTACAGAAAGCAAAAATGTTAAATATCTCAATAACATTGTACAACCAAAATCTGCAATCCCCAATAGACCTACTAAATACATCAGAGTTGGACTGTAATATGACAGGACATTAGGAGGCAGTTGACATATTGGGTGTCCAGCCCATTTGATAAGCACGTTCCAGGGTCCTCTTGCAATCCTGTAGTACAGTACTGAAGGTTATGTGTGGATACTGCTGCACAAGCTGTTCTACTGTGGCTTCATTGACCTACAATCAAAAAAAATGATTCTGTAATTTGCACAAGATAGATACCACCTGTAACCTACTATGGACCAAAAGAGTGTAAGGCTTTGGATTCCTGAATGCAAAATGGTGAATCATAATTCCCTCTACTTTTTTTAGAGGACTTTCATGATCGGACTGGATTTTTTAAAATACAATTAAAATAGCCTTGTTGTTTTTTTATGACATCCCCCTCCCACTGCAAAAAAAGGTATCATAACAAAAACTGAAAAAGCCATTTCTACTTTAAAAGGAACATCCAAAGGCCATATACCATTCTAGTTAATAGTTAATACCATTGTTTGTGATGGGATATGACAAAGAAAGTCAAATACTTTTTTAAAACTGAGCACTGTTGACAATCATTTAATGACATTAAACTTAATATTAATCTTGTAACTATTTTAAAACCCGGTGTTCCACCATGCTATACCCTCATAGAGTCAAAACTGTAAATATGCAAAAAATGGAGGAGTATTGTTTAATATAGTACTGCCCAGAATTCATAGTTTCATAGTTGGTAGGGTCAGAAGGGACCT